GTGAGGATATTATAAAGGGCAATTGTCGCAAGAGAGAAAGATTTAAGGAAAAGGTAAAAAGATGAAACCAAACTGATTCAGTTTCAGTTCTCTTTATGGACGGCGGTGATTAAGATCATGGTGATACGTGGACGGACATCGTTAATGATGTTTTTGATCTTTCATCTGTCGTGATCAGGTGGACCACAGGTGGTCTCTTGCCTCGACCAATACAATTGCAGGGTGGTGACGGAAAAGTCTGGAAAACGCTTTGGCTTTGTTTTGTGCATGAATAAATCAATTTTATTGGCCGACGCCACTTATCTATGGTGGTCCACACACCAGTGAGGGAAGTTAGATTATCTTCAATTCCTTTTTTACAATCCTTGGTGAAAAGTCACAATGTCTTCGTTTTTTTTTTTTTTCTTTTTAAACAGTATATAATTTGGTAACGAGGGAAAGCAGTTTTCAAGGCGGTGGTGGAGTTCCCACCTCATTCAAGTATTTTAAAGTTTGAGGTGAAATTATTGGATTTAAAAGTCTGGTTTTATAATATCTTTGTATTTTAAATAGTAAGGTTATTTATAAAATTATTTCAATATTTTAAATAAAATTTTATTAGATACTAATTTATGTATAATTTATTAGTATTATTTTTTGATGTTTTAATAGTTAGAGTGTTTTGACTTTTTCTGAATCTCCTTTTTTGTTTTTTTTGGGGGGAGCGGGGGAGGGTGTTTAGACTTTAGAGGGAGGAGTTAGGCTGGGTTGTATTCCGTCACCCTTATGGACTGAGAATTAATCTCTAAGCAGAAAGAGTTGTCAGTTGTGTAGCAGTAAATTGAGAGTCTTCCAATGATCGCAGAACATGTACAAAGAACAAGCCGATGCAACGACAGCTAGAGCCAAAAGTATGGAATAAGGACTCCAATTTGCACAAAATTTGCAATTCTGGAACTCAAACTTCAATTGCATTTAATAAAGGTCCTCAATTACACAAAATTTTCAAATAAAATCTCAATTGAATAAAATATTAATTTGTTGTCAAATGTCTCACCACTCTATTAATATCCATTACTCTCTCATCCAATTGATTAATATCCATTACTCTCTCATCCAATTGAAATGATAATGTGGATAATTTTTAATTCATCTAAAACTTTTAATTCGTCTAAAACAATACAATCTATGTAACATTCATTTAGATTAAAAATTAACAAATCAATATATTTTTTTTCACGCCATCATTCTAATTCAGTGAGAGAGTAACGAACATTAAGGGAGTTGTAAGAAATTTAATGACAAGTTAATTTTTCATCAAATTAGAACATTATTTGAGAATTTCGTGCACTTTGAGACCTTAATTGAATGTAATTAAAGTTTGAATCTAGAATTGCAAATTTTGTGCAAATTCAGGTCCCTATTCCATACTTTCGCCAAAACCAGACTTCTGCAGAAATGAATTTTATATCATCAATCTAGAAACTGAAAGAGTTGCACAATCAACTGCACCAGAACAAATTGGTTATTTGTAGGGTAACCCTAACAGAAATTTATCACAAAGACGGAGAGAAAGAAATTGAGCTGACAATTTGCTGTTTAACAGAACTATACTTTAACTGCTGACAACATTTAATACAAGAACCTAGAAATGGTTGATCTGTTTATTACCAATGACCATTGGCAACTGAACCAATCTCACTAGCAGTGCTGACCCCATCCTTCTGGGCATAGAATCTCCGGTACATGGAATCAACTTTCGTGAGATAGTATGTTCCAGGAGCCAAAAGGCTACTGTCCTTGCTCGTCACAAAGTCTTTGGCTCCATATCTATGCTCCATGAGCTTCAAGGTCTCAACAAACTTTCCAGGAGGAAACTGCATCAAAACAGCCCAGTTCATATGTTTCCATGACATGGCACCAAAAAAATGCATGGGAGATGAACCCTCCTCGTTGAGTTAAAGAAAGTCATTCTGGCCATTTACAAGTTTCCAGTAAAATTTACATGATTTTATTGCAGTTAAAAGGCCATGAACTTGATGTATATGGTGACACGTGGGATGCAAAACATAGTTAGAGCACTGAGAAAAGGGAGCAAGGAAATAGGCGGCTGGTTAAGGATCTAGGATATTATGTTTAAAACTAGAAATTCAAGTTGGCCACTAGGGAAGTTCATGTAATTGTACGTACTACATCTATGTATAGCAAGATATTTTATCTGAAACATTGTCTTGGGGCTATATTCTGTCGGAACTGAAATGTAAATGCAATAGTTACCTCATGCCTTGACTTCAATTTCCCTTCAACATTCATCACTGTAGCAATGTTTGACAAGCTAAAAGGATTTTGACCTTCATGAAGTCGCAGTGAAAACATTGTGGCAGTCAACCCACTTCCATATGAGAACATTATCACCCGCTTTCCTGCCTGCAAAATATCAGACAAATCACACACATTTCAGCACAAACAGCAGAAAGCAACTACATCTAATTAGAAAACAATAAAAGCAATTACCAATTTGCTACTTTTATTGTGAATAAGCGATACAAATGCAGCATAGACAGATGCGGTGTACATGTTGCCAACTTGCTTTGGTATTAGGGTGGTAGGTTGCACCTTAGCATCATAAAGCGGCTTTGCCACCTGCTGGGATAGCTGCAGCAACACAGAAATAAGCAGTGGTAAGCACACAAAATTCAGAGGAAAAATAAAAACACAAAACAAAACAAAAACAAAAACTTGTTCCAACAATCCCTCAATCAACTTTTCAATTAAAATCAAGAAATAATTTTAGAATTATAATCTTAAAGATGGAAATCAATCAGAAAAAGTGGATCAATGATGCAAGTTATATTTATCCAACATAACAACGGATAAAGTATGTCAGGTAAGTAAAATAGAATAGTCCTAGATCACTTTAGAACCAACATAAGTTTTATTTTATTACTTTGCTGTTTAAATCTTAGTACAATGAGTAACAGCTAAAGTTGAAGACAGACCTTCTCAAGATCCCGGTTTTGGTAGCTTTCATCAACAGTTAGATTGGAAAATGGTCCCAGCTTCTCTTTAGCAACTTCATCAACAGAACTGCAAATACAGTGAAATTAATCAAACATTAAATAAATAAACTCGAAGGCATTCCATGGAAACCTTTGAGAGATCTCAGATAGGCAAAAACCTTGCATTCCTTACAACATCGTTAAACACCAAACGAGCAAAGCTTTTCTGTACAAGCTGTGGCCGTTCAAAGGGAAAAGATTCAGATTTAAAATAGTCAGATTTGAAAGATGAAATGGTAAGATTTCCAGTAACTGATAACATAACCTACCTTGTTATATGGAGAATGAAACAGAAAATAGTCAGCATCAGATAAGGAAAATTGTGTGCCTTCCACTTTCTCATACCTGCATTCATGACATTTAGGCAGCAAGTAGAACTGCTTGAATTTCATATTTGCAAACAAAAAGTACAAATGCAAGTCCTTATTTAGAGACTTACTTCTTACACAATTGTTTATAGCAAGAATCAAGAGCCATTAAATAGCATGTTTGAGAAAGTTTCCCATCAACAACCTACACAAATTTGCAAACAGTTGGAATACTTAACCATAGGAGCAACATGCAAAAGAGCAGAAAGTGATGATGATTAGATATATATATATATATATATAAAAGAATTTCATCTGTAGACTGAGCAAAAGGCAGAGGGAGATGCCAACTAAAAAAATAGGGGGGCAGAGGGAGATCAAAAGAATTACCGGATATTCACTAGCAAGATTGGGCTTGTAAAAGTCATAGGCATGGGACATATAACTTCCCCTAAATTTGCTTTCAAAAGCAATTGGAGCATCAGGTCCTATTAACATGGCAATTGCAGCTGCCCCACCAGTAGGCCGTGCAGGTCCTTCTGCATAGACCTGAAAGAAAAATGCCCAGGAAGAAAGTAGAACGAAGATAGACGGTTATCTAACCTTTTAATTTAACTATAAAAATATATATTCACTTGCTCATCTGTAAGTTCACACCAGCACAAGAAACAACAAATAGAGATGAGTTGAAAATAAGATATTTTTCTGATAAGGAATCATGAAACCAAAACCAATTGAAAATTATATATATTTCCTATCAAAAGTAAGCAAGGATTTATAGAAAAAAGAAAAGTTAAGGTCATCCCCACCCTTTTTTCTATGAAAAGAAAACGATGCACAAAGTGATAATAATCAATCATCCTTCCATATAAGGGCTGAAAAATAAAATGCATGTATCCACTATTCCAAAGTAATAGTTAAAGGAAATGTTCATACCGCACTATCAGTACACACAACAAGGCCATATCGTCCATCCCATGAATTACTCTCCACCCAGTTCACGCAGTTGAACAAAGCTGCAGTTCCTCCATAGCATGCATTAGTAGAGTCAACGCCTTCAACGTCAGTATTTCCATGTTTCTGTTTGTTTTTACAAAGCAAACGGTGAGTAAAGAACAGACAATCTAACAATAGAAGAGCATCAGAAAACAGGACTGATCCAGTCTACACAAAGCGAAAAACCTAACAGCAAGAAAATTTAATAAATCCACAACCTATTACATATTATCAGTCCATAAGGCATAAAGGAAAAACCTTTCCAAATAACTAAGAGAGCAACCAGATAAACATATACCTCAAAGATTTGCATCAGGAAGGTCTTAATGGATTTGCTCTTGTCTATGACCGTTTCACTGCCTACTTCTAGGCGGCCAATTTGTTTAGGATCAATTCCATACTTCTCAAGGAGTGAAGTAACAGCCGTCAAACTGACAATCGAAAGAACCCTCGGTTAATAAAAACTAAAAATGAGGAAAAAAAGTTGATTAACTCCATTCTGCAATTCATTTGCAGAGTGAAGCAAACCGAGTGTAGAAAATGTACCTCATAGAGATGACATCTTCCACCTCTGTACAGAAAGCCATACAATCTTGTCCAAGTCCAATTGTGTATTTTCCTTTGCTTGCACCATCATGAGCCTCCAGTGCTTCCTATTTTTCATGCATAAATTTAAACTAAATTTCAGCACAGAAATGATACATAGGAACATGATTGACAAAGTAAATTCCCTCAAACCAAGAAAAAAAAATTCATAAATCATTACACAAACAAAATAGAAAATAATAACCGAAACAAGCATTCTGGAATACAGTAAAAACTTAAAATCTAACAAAATCAATTATCCAACTGCATCTACTCTACCGGCATCAGGTGGAAATCCAGATTTTCTTATGTCCCTGTCAAAATCAATACCAGAAAACCATGTCCGGAGAACCTCTAAAATTAACATTTCTAATAAAAAATTGCAAAGAAGATCGAGCAATTGAAAGTTCTTATGACCAGTTATCTGAACCATGACTCAATGAAATCTGACACAGCACAGCATATATATATAGAGAGCTGAATTTACTACTTCACGAGACGAGAGACACAGAAATGCTCAGCAACCAAACAGATAACCAATCGAGAGAGTGCGAAAACCAGAATCAGGAAAAAGAAGATGAGAAGCGTCACCTGTTGAACGCAGGTCGGAGGGAAGTAGATATCCATGGCGAGAATTCCAACATTCCTTGCCATTTTCAGTATCGAACTGAGATCAAAGATGAAGAACAACAGCTACAAATTGGTGACGATGTTCTTCTCTCCGTGAGAAGTATGACCCCGGAAAGTCGCAGAGAAAGCTGGCGCTGGGTGAGGCTCAAAACTGGGGTGTCTTTCAGTATTTGTTTATATATTTATAGGCAAAATGCAGAGTTCGTGAGCTTGCCAACGATTCTAGAGGGGAGGCTGGTTTCTATATTCGCCACCTATTTCCCGTTTTATTACCATGAGTACCACCGGGGTTTAAGGTTCAAAAAATGGTATCTTTTTGGGTTAAATCTCAATTTCAGTTTCCAAACTTTTAATTTTGAACATTGTTAGTCCCTAAATTACTTTTTATATTTTTTTTTGTCTTTAAATTATGAAAATGTAATTTTTTTAATTACTTAATCTATTAAGTCAGTTTAAATGTACATATATTATATTCTTCTATCTATGTCCTAAGAGTACAGGATAATGATGTATTTATTACACATTTTCATCATTAATTTACATAAAAGATAAAAAAAAATTAATTTTAATATATATGACACATAAATATTTTTTATTAGATAAATATAAAATTAATATCAACTTTTAGTTTTATTATGTTTATTAATAATAAAAAAATACAATAAATACACGTTTACCCATATTACATATCTAAAGACTAAAAATGTT